TCGTACGCGGTTCGGTACGGTTTACAGAGACAGTAGGGGTCCAGTCCATCTCGTCAGTCGTTCTCTTAGAGCGTGTATTCCGAGTACGATTAATATCCAGGGTGTCGTTGTCTGCACTAATCTCGTGGAGTCGTGTGATTAACTCCGAAAAGGTGCTAGGGACGCCGCGATACCGTAGCGTTTCGGTCATTTTTCGGTTAAGCGAAGCTAGCAAAACTTGCCGCTTAGGCTCGTCAGGCCATTCAAAAGCGCCTGCGTCAGCGAATTCCCTTTCTAACTGAGGTAGGAACCTCGCGAAGGACTGGTCTTCGCGTTGTCGTATTAGGTGAAGCCGTCTTGCTGCTCTTGCTTTGATGTTCGGGTCGCCATAGATGTTTTCGAGGTAGTCAAGAAGCTGTCGTGGTTCGCGGTCGTTTCGCTGTGTTTTCACGAACGAATTGGTGTTCTTTAGGGCTAGCTTTTCTAGCCGAGAGAAGACGTACGCGAATTGATCTTGTGGGCTCCCGATAGCTTCGCCGTCTACTGCTAGCTTGTTTTCCATCACTGTTCGCCAGGATGGCCACTCCGAAGAGCTCCCTGCAAACATCGCTGGGTCCGGTAGTCGTGGCCGAGGGCGTTGTATAGCTATCCCTGTTCTATCCTGCGTGACCTCGGTTTCGATTCGAGAGGGATTCGGCGGTGTTTTGCTAGGGATTGATATGTTCTGGAGTAATGCCTCAAGTTTTTCGATCCGTTCGTCTTGCGCGGTGTTCCGTTCGTTCTGTGCTGTGGTAGCACTCTCGTATACGGCGTGGCTCTGGGCGATTTGCTGCATTAATGTCTGAGCCCAACTAGGGGGACTAGACGATTCGCTATTTCTTGCCATTCTCTGCCGTGTGTAGCGGTTTATTCGTGCGTTCTTCGTTTCTCAATCGGCTTCGCGTCGAGGGTCCTATGGGTAGCGACCGGTACCGTTTCGGTTGCTATTCGCTTATATTCCGTTCCAATGTTCCAATGTGCCTAGGAATTGAGATCTTCTAGGGCTTTCCAATACGTCTCGAGCACTAAGGCCTTATACGCGAGGGTTCCGTTCCGTTGTGTGGCCGTCACTGAATCGCCGGGGATTCAGGGGTGTTTCCAATGAGCGCCTAGGTCGTCTTCCTAGGGCTTTCTAATAACCAGTGGTACTTCTAGGTGTAGAAGGAAGCTTTTTGTATGTGAGGGGCTGAAGTAAGACTTAATTCAATCTAACTAGGCCAACATGCTGTTTACAAAAAGCTTAGGGAAGAAAGGTTCGTCCCGCGTGTTCTCCATGTCAACATGCCAAGGTTCCGTGATACACGTGACCAATATCGGGCAACAGCCCGTGACACTAGGCAATTTAAATGATTATAGAGCGGATGCTTTGCTGTTAGCCTCCTCTCAATAGCCGCTGTCGCAGTTCGATAGGCATTGATTACCTTCGCTTGCTCTTCTTTCTTCTCCCACAGCTCTCCTAGTTTCCACATTCCCTATGCAAAGTCTGGGTGCTCTTCGCCTCGAGAAATTTTGACCTTGCCGACTGTCTCAAGGCTTAGTCTCTCTGCTTCATCTAGACGGCCTTGGCGTACGTTTCAATTCCCACTTCGAAGAGCTCCACGCCCATTGAAGTAGCTCAACAATAAAACCCTGGACGAATTGACGGAATGCGCGGGAAAAGGTGATATAGGCTGCTGCGGTTAATACGAGAAGACGTCCTCTAGTGGTTGATTCCATTTTTCCAAACAACCCTAGTATTGTCGTATCTGTACAAATTGGGTCTGATCGATAATGCGATCAGGAGAGGCTTCCCTCTTTCCCGACCCCCTCCACTATTCAGAGGAGGAATCCATTTATAATACCAGTCGTTCGCTTTCTCTGACACCCAAATCCGTGTCTCATACTGAAATAATAGCATCTACGAAACATAACGTGTCGATTACGGGAGACACTTGATCGCCAAGGAGTATGCTTAGGATGAGCCGATGACGTCTTGCCTTCGGCCTTCGACTTATTAATCATCAACCTCTCGCGTGCAAAAACATATTCCTAGTTCGGAAAACCGCCTTACTGCCAACTATGGTCTGGAGAATATGGCCTTGCTTTCTTTATCTGGATCTAACTTGAATAAGTAATATTTGAAGGAATCCGTGGATTGATGGGACAGTATTTAAACACCTGGGCGAGTCTCACACTTGTTCATGATCATGTCACCAAAGAAAATTTTTCAAGCGCTAGAATATGAGTTGAACTAGGTGAATAATTCTGATGACCCCAGGCAACTGCAACGATGAAAACAACGGCAACGTATATCAAAATGAAACCACCAAGAAATGATACTAGGAAAAGAGTACTTTCTTTCCGCTCGTACGTCGTGGTGAAGCCCATAATTAAGATTGATTCACTGAATGGTATTGAAGAAGGCTCTAGAGATTTGGTGGATGGGCCGGCAGCTGCTCTTTCCTCGTCGATGGCTTGCATGCAGCCAGAAACAACGCCAGATTCGCAAAGAGCTAAGAGGGCTTCGTGATCATCGTCTCGGTATGCGTCAAAGTCCCTTTTACAGTTCTCAATCAAAGATATTCTGCCTGAATGGAGTCTTGGGATTTTGGAGTATTGGGGAATGTCACGCTCGGTCGAGTCCCTGCGTCCAGGTTGGATAGCGTTTGATTTCGGTATGGCAACTGTTGACCCGAGAGGTGTAACAGAAAACAGCGAGTGTAGAGTAATGCAGAGGCGCATGCTCGCAGAATGATGAAATTTGACACGCCAATTGGTAATTATCGATCGCCGAGGCTTCAGAATATAATGCGCACTTTGAGGACCCAGAGTGCTCTAGTATTCTTATCGAACCCAACGAATACCGATCACGGTGAGATGAATTGAAGGGTCGTTAAACTTGAAGAGAGGTACCAGTGAGATGTATGATATAGCAAATGAAATCATGGCATAGCCTGAAGTTCCATTTATACGAGGATAACGTTGGAAAATAATACTACCAGATAGCGCCGAAACGGTCCAAATATTCCACGTTTACACTTTCAAACCTTACCCAAAGCGGATTAGCTTTATGCAGGCAGATGACATAGTGGGTCGCTAACACCACATCTCCAGATTCGCTTGTTTTAACAATTAGCGGAATGAGTGGGTCGCAGCGTAGCGAAGGGCACGTATAATTGGTTCCAAGGTAAGGGGCCTTAATAATCAAGGCGAAAGACGTGGATTTGCTTTTCTATTATTGACGTTCGCCTTCCACAACTCTGGTGCGTGCTAGCCAAACCCATATTCTACCGGCGCCTACACCTTCCTGTCATCGAGTTGCATACATTAGTGGGGTGGAAATGATCGGCTTTTTGGCACGCTGAATGGATCGCAAACATGAATCTATCAGCCGAGGGACCATCTCAAAAACGGATCGCTGTAAGACCACGCTCGGGGCGCCTTAGCTTATGGCCAGAGGAGGATTGGTCTGGGATCACCGACCCGAAGACACGCAGGCGGCTGCAGAATCGTATTAACCAAAGGGCTCGACGTAAGTCCGCCATCTATTGCCATTAATTGAAGAATATCGTCTTGACCGTCTATGCAAATAGGTCTACAGAATAAGGCATCAATAAATTCTTCGGTGGAGAGAAAGACACAGGGGTGCGATGGCTCTCCTAAGAAACCGCATCAATCAGCTACGCTTGCTGTTGCGACTCGGATCAATGGACAAAACTTGGAAGAGCCTACTGCCATCGACTTCCTCTCTCTAAAGGAAATTGAGGATGTGCACATACTTAAATCCAATTCCCCAGCCACAAAAATCACAATGGCCCGATTAGAATTGACAGCCCTTCAGTACTACGCTCTGGGTTCCCCACGAACCGATCTTTTACTCGACCTAATCTCGCTGAATTTTACAAGAGCTCTAATGGAAAATACACGAATCCTAGGTCTCACATCGGATCAGCTCCACGATGATGCAATATCGCCTTTCAACACTGCAGGTCCATGGCGCGATGACTCTCTCTATAACCTTCCAATCAATCTCCAACCCACTTTGATCCAACGCTCTATCCCACATCACCCGTGGTTGGACCTACTTCCTGATCCCCAAATGAGAGATAATTTGATCGTCGTTGGAGATTTTGAAGAGGAGACACAGCTTTGTCTGGATATGAAGGGTAATAGGAGCGCGCGATCGGGGAGGAGTGGGGTTATCGTTTGGAGTGATCCTTGGGATCCGGCGGGGTGGGAGATTACTGAGCCTTTTGCTCGTTCTTGGGGATGGGTTATTATGGGTTGCTATAATTTAGCCCATTCTACGAATAGGTGGCGGGCGAAGCGGCATGAAAGACCGCTGTTCCGTATGGGTTGATTTTAAAGGTGGTTAGTATAGAATCTCTTTATAGAAATATACTATTTACAAGAACGTATATTTAGGACCATTATTTTCTAGCTAAGTGCATAGATGTGATAACGCTACAGGAACTTGGTCGTTTCCACAATAGGCGTCTCTAGTGATTGATATTCTGGATTAATAAATTCCCTTAGAGTAACTTTTGTTAAGGCTATAAAGAGGGTTAGGTTTATCCGACTTTAACTCAATCTGGAGCTAGTTAGCGTATCAAGGGAATTTCTTCTTCGCGATCTCCGTAACTTCTATATCAAAGTGCCCAGTAGTAATAAAGAGGCACTTTCCACTTACCTCAGGGACTTCCATAGCCCTAATATAGATAAAAGCAATATCTCGTATATCAACCTAGATCCCGAGCCTAGTCGGAGGTAGGTATTCCTTCCATCTTTATGTATTAATATCGCGAAATAAGCGTTTAATGAATTAGGTACTGCTAGGGACCCTAAAGCATAAATCGGTAGCCTAAAGACATAATGAGGGAAGAGAGTTACACAAGAAACTACGGACGTCTCTTCTTCCATTAAAGAAGGACTATATGACTCCCTGTAGCAATTCCTTACACGTATATTTTAGAAGGGTCCTAAATGTCTTTAACGTAGGTAGCTTAGGACAATCGGCTCTTACTATACATATCGGGGCGTCTTTCTATGCTAACGATAGCAATAAATAACGAGGTAATAATAACTCGCTTGACCGAAGACGCTTTATCCTTGATTACGCGTAAAATTCCCTTAGTTCTATGAATTTCAGGGTCAAGTAGCTCCTTGGAATCCTAGAATTGGAAATAGAAGGGGTTTACGGTGTGGGGAATAGCATTAAATGGGGGAACCAAAATGATAACTTCGTCGAATGCGCCATCTTGGGTAATGTCAGGAAAGACGGCGTAAGCAAGCTAGCCCTTAGAAGATTCCTAATTTTAGTGATGATAAACTGACCGGTTCGGCGGAAGTTATCGGGCGCAAAGTCATCAGGGGATCGGAAATCGAAGTTATCAACCAACCAGCCGTAACCTAGTGGACTGAAAGCAACATACGCCACACTCAACTCCTTTGCTGTGGTAATCAAGCCGTCGGTCTCGTGGATTGTCTCAAAGGCTGAGTACTCCGCTTGGACTGCATCAATTTTGGCAACTTTTGATCTTTAGCAAGGGGAAACTAAGAGAGATTATTCATAAGATTGAACCCACTTGAGTTGGCTTTCCGCAAGGTTTCGGCGGAGCATTCCGAAAGACCAATGTACTTTGTCTTCCCTGCCTTCCGAATTTCATCCAGGGCTGAAATAGACTCCTCAAGAGGAGTGTCTGTTGAGGTCAGCTCTGAAAACGCTTCAAGGCTACTGAACGTACTAGGATCAATTCAATGGAGATAATACAAATCAGGAGTGAACCCGAGCCTCTCAATAGTGCCTTCTATGTACTCCTTGATATGCGAGGCCGAGTGAGTAACGCTGACAGGGCCCCCAAACACATTGAAGCCACATTTCGAAGCGACTGTAGATTAAAAAGATCAGCTGTTATTTTGATTGTAGAGTTTGTACATTGATCAGGGGACGAACTGAAAATCTTGCCGCGGACATTATGTTTCCGAGTGAAGTCACCTAGAAGCTTCTCTTTTATACCAGCTTAGAGACAACCTTTGTTTCCAGCGTCAATGTTCAATGTTATATCTGAATTCAATCATTTAATACTAACGGCAGTATCCCATAATGTGCATCCCAATTCAACCGCCTTTAACAGCACGGGTTCAGCTTCTTCAAGGCTCAAATTCTTACCTAGGCCTGAAGCTCAGGCCCATGGCACCGAAGCCCGGCGACGGGACCGTCGTGGTGGCAAATGGCGACGACTGAACCATTTCTCTCGAACTAATAAAGTCCTCGGAGTTTCTGGTTTACTTTCGGATTCTAAAAGAAGAGGAAGAGGAAGAAGCGGGAGAGTCTACTGACATTAAATAGTGTAGTAGCCGACCTGGAAGTCGGGTCATCGGCAATTTATCTGACATCACCGCTGTCGAGGAAACGTGGACACGTTCATTACCGTGACTCAGAATTCGTCCATGCGCAACCCACTTCCGATAGCACTCATACTGCCATTGCGAAGTTGCCGGCAAGGTTGTCGTTCGGGAACATCTAAAGCACGGCCTCCAGTGGTCTAGTCTGACATACTCGCTCTTCTTTGACGAAGAATTCCCCAACTGCGGACTAAGAACAGGTGTAACGATCGAATATACTTCTTTTGAAACGTTTGAGGTCTAATAACATCTTGACCTTGTTTTCAACAGAAATTCGATTTCAAACAAAGGCGTTCGGGTGGCGTGACAGGATGTTGAATGAGGAGGGTATGCGGAATTAACAATTCACGGATTTTAGCCACCCTACCATGGATTACATGGCAAAGCTAGTATCGAGTATGCCGTCTCATTCCGCACTTGTAAAATGTGGATTTTCCTATCATAAGTTAGAGCGAGAGCGGATAATGGCGACTGCACTATGTTGGAAATGAGAATGGTGTGCAATGTAAATGATGACTCGACCCTATTGACCTCGACTACTCGGTCGTTTGGTCATGCGTCCTCCCGTTTACACCTGCATAGATTGCTCTGTAGGTTTGATGGTTCTTTCCAGGACCGACGCTGTTCTTTGTCTTGTAGACCTATTTAGGTCTTTCTCTTCTTCCTTTTCTTCTTCTTCTCTAGATCCATCTTCATCATAGTCTAGATAGAGACATTGATTCAGATTCCCCTTCTTTTCTGCTTCCTCTGTGTAGGTGTCGATGACACCATCAGTAAACGATATGATTCGGACGCGACGAGTGCCAGGGTACTAACCTGGGATTATAATCCCACAGGGTACGATGGAATGCTGTTAGCAACGTCGTGAAATTGAAATTGTGGTACACTTCATCGCCCTCGCTAGAGATGTACGGGAAGAGCCTACAGGTTCCATTCCCTGGGCTATGTGAAAATGTTATTTCTGGGGAGGGAGATTAACTCTTTGCATTTACTCGTCACTGGACAGTGTCAATATTGGAAATCCAATTGAGCCATCAGATTCCCTTTCTTTATTATTTTTTTTTTCATTTTTCTTTTGAGAAAACAGCCTTTGCAGATGGCCCAATTAGAGAATTGTACACTTTCTGCGCAGGCCACACGGCCCCTCGTAGAAGTCTTTCTTGTCTGAGTTCTTGATATCCCGTTGTCCCTGCGAGCACAGAGATGAACCTGTTGCACCCGCTATGGGGTTAGATGTCAAGTCTTCAAGCTTTGACTCCGTGCTACCATCTAGTCAAGTAGAATTGGAGACAGTTTCGTAAAATGCCTTGCCCTGAGCTTCAGCTATATCCAGCTCAAGCTTACTAGGTTTGCGTGAGCCGTCACCCCCCTGCGAAGAGTGGTTAGCACCCAGGTCTTTTCACAAAAGCTATATTTGGGTGAGTTACAGAGAAGGTACCAGCGCCCCGGGGGCTACCGCCGTGGACCTCTTCAAGGTTTGTCAACTGCGAGAAGGTGCTCTTGTAGCCTAGGGGAACATAAGTTAGGCCATGGTGAGCGAGGGTGCTCATTGAGGCAATAGCAGTCGACTCCTGACCACCACCTTGGCCGCTAGTTGAGATGAAGATGCCAGCGTACTTGCCCCAGTAGCCGCCAGAGGCCCAGATCGAACCGGACTTATCCCAGAAACACTTCCACTGAGCAGGGAAGTTACCAAAGCGTGTGGGGATACCGAAAATAATAGCGTCATAGTCCAAGAGATCTGTAGGCTCCGCAATTGGGTAGCCAGACTTGGGAGGAGCATACATCTTGCTCAGAATCTCCTCAGGGAGAGTCTCTGCAATTCTAGCCAAATTTTAGTTCACAATTTTCCACAAATTTTCAAAGAGAATACTTGGAATACTTGGAATAGAGCTCCATACTGGAAAATGTCGGCCGTGCCGCCCGCTGCCTCGATACCTTTCTTCTCAGCCTCCGCCAGCTGCTTGACGTGACCGTACATCGAGTACTGTGCACCGGAAAAGATAACAAAAGGTTAGTTAATAGCCAATGTGATAGTCATGTCACAAGATATTGTCTTCGACGAACATACAAAAACGATTGCAATCTTGGGGGCCATTGCGATGTATCTGTTGTCTCTTCGTTGAGAAAACTGAAAGGAGTGAAATAAGATGATGAAGTAAAATAGTCCGAGCAATGGGAGTCAATAAAACTATCCACATGCACGGCATCCATAGTAGGCTATAGAATTATTCCCCAAACATAATTACAAAGCTACGTAACTAAGAAAATGGCTAAAGGCGTTGATTAATCTAAGGAGATACCGGCTTTATTCGGAGGTATACGGCTATACTCACTTTCGGTTCATCTGACCAATGTTTGACAAATGTGTAGCTCAAGTTGAGTTTTCAAGGGGACATGATAGGATTGTTTGTACCATCGGCAAGATTGTAGCTCAATAATTATGTACGCAAGTCCAGGCAGATCTTCCAACGGAAAGAAAAATATAGATTCTGTATCAGATAGAATGATGTCAAATACTCCGTTGAGTTAGAATTCTGGCTGATTGAACTTGATTTCGGAATTGTTAAGCCACGGCGTCGTCCTATCCCCGGCGACATTCCCCTTTTCATATCCTGCCCCTAGCGAAGCTGAAATTGCGATGAATCCCCGTCCACTTGGCACCCGATCAATAGTCTCGGTAAAGGTAATCCCGTGCATAATGCCCTTCCAGATGTTGCTTGCGCAAATGAAGAACCTTCGCGAGACCGCTGTTTAGAAGAGTCGGACCCCATATCAATCAAATCGTGTGAAAACATAATATGATATATTCAGCGTTGAGCTTGGCTCGGCGCCAAAGGCGAAATCCCTGTCACGGAGTTAGGACGTCCCATAAGCCGATCTGCCTGGGCACGGTGAGCAGAGCTTCAAAGAGTTATACTTGCCTGGTTCCACTGCGGATCCCAAGAGTATCTCGCAAGCGTACCCTTGCTGTGCTAAGCCTTACACGGGCTCGGTTCCTTTTGAGTATCCTGCAGGATGGGCCAGAAGTTCGCACCTAGTAAGTAACTCACTTGTTAGTAATACCAAGTAAGCTCCTCTGCTTGTGGGATGGTCTGTCTTGAAGGTAACTGTGAAGTGCAAATTACTAGAGGTAGTGTCAGATCTAGGCAGTCGGCATAGACCCTAGGGGTGTGCAAGAAGTGTTCGTCCACGGTTGGAATAGAAGGTCGTGCGACTCAATCATAGAGAGTGTCATGATCGTGGAAGGTCTGGAGCAGAGGACTGGCGAGCCAACTTGTCAACGGTTGTTGGACGGGAGTTTCCTTCGCGTCCCACATTGTGAAGTTGTCGTTTCCAAGCCAGTGAAAAGCGTGCCCAAACTTCAAGGAAGCTCGGAGAACTAGAAACAGAAAAAGATCCGGTATTTTAAAAATAAATTCGTACAGACTCGGGAATACCGCTCGTCTACAGCCTGTAGACACATTCTGCACTGGCAAACTGCTATCCTGGTTCGATAGGCTGTTGATACCGGCTGATGCCGAAGCAACAATACACGCCAGCAGGACAAGGACCCGGGCCATGGCAAATTTTCGAAGTACTTGAGTAAGAATAGGATGTGTAAATAAGGACGTGTAACAAAATTTTGAATGATCTCGACCTGATATCTTATTCTTACCACGAAGAATCGGCATTCCAAGGTTTATACAGCCAAGATTTTTGAACTCTTTCCTCGCCAAGATGACATCAAAAAAAAATGACACATACGTGATCTGATGCACGACTGCCTGACATTGTCAAGTAGATTGACAGGGTTATCTCACTTCAACAATCCGAACTGCGATCATAGAACATTACGAATAAAGATCACATCTTTGCGCGTAGAAATACCGCTTCTCAAAATCGTTTTCATCAACCTTGAAAGTCAACCATTCAAATAATTAATTAGCCAATATGCGTGTATGATATGACATGCACTTCGCAAAAAATTGCAATGTGTGGGAAGAAAATTTACCTAGCTCGATGAAATCTCGGATCGTTGCGGAGACCCCTTATACAATACTCCCCCATTCTTAATACCACTGACCAATGATATGGAACATGTCATCAAACCAGAGGCCAAGAACATAATGCCTCACCAATTCCTTCCCGGATCACCCTGGAGTATGATCTGCAACAAGTGGTTCTAAAAATTAAATGCACAAAATCCAATTGTTGCAGATTCTTCCATTCTCGCAAATGTCATCAATATGAGGGCAACTTACCGGACCCTTGCATTGTTGCTGAGCGACTGGTACAAATTTCAAAGTGGGTCTAAATTGCTCCCAATCTCGCAATATTTTGAATGGTTGATACAAGCCTACGTTTTGAGTGCCCTGGTGCGGTCGAGATCGTCAACACCCACTGTTATTTTAAAACGCTACCACCATAAGACTAGCATCATGCAGGCGGATGACATAGTGGGTCCAGTGTACCTTGAGAAAAATGTACAATTGGCTTCCAAATGTCGACATATAATTATTGATCAAGACTGGACCACTCAGATATGAAGAACGGCATTGGTACACCACACAAGATCAAAAACGTGAATCGATCAATAGAGGCTTCAAAATCGCCTGGACCAAAGGGCTAAATATAAGCCCCTTGTTCGTCGATTCGTTAGCGGGCATCTTCTTAGCCCTCTATATTCTTAACCGATTACAAGGCATATCCAGCACAATCACATCATGGTCATATCGTGAGCCACTCAAGTAAACGACTTATAATAGTACAAGAGGTTCAATCGATCACAAACAATGTGTGGATATGCTATAAATGGATTTCGTGTCACGGTTAGATATCACATGCAAAGGCATTTTTATGATGCTCAATTGGTTTTCCCATAATTAGAAATATGAAAAGTCTGGTGATGGTCATAACCTCCAAAAGTGGAGGTATCTTAATATGACGTTGGAATTACGTGCGGTATGATTGTTAATGACCATACATATCAAAATAATGTCTTGGTATTCAATATGTCGATTTGATTTCGTAGTATTGAGATCAATTATTTTAAATTCAAGATTTATCCGTGATCGCCCCTAACAGACGAACCGCAGGGGTCGCTCTTCTCTATGGATATGACTTTCTTGAAGGCCACAAATAAAATAAATCGGTGTCTTCCAAGTTAACAGAAAAGGTCCTTTACCAGTAGCATGTCGAAACAGTGATCACGGAGCATTTACAACTTGATAGACAAGAGGTGGAAGAGGAAAGGGATGATGGAATGAAGAAACGTAAAAGAATTGAGCCCTTCTAAACTGCCAGCCTTCGCACTTCTCCCTAGTTTCGGCAGGACATCGAACTTTTCTTGTATCCCAAACCTCGAGTACAAGGAGCAATGTTTGCTTGAAAATTCTGTTATGTTTGCGGAATAATATATGACGTCGTTGTGCTGTAGTGGACATACCAAAGTTTACGATAATATTGGTAAACTTGATCTGGGACCAACGAGACACGGATCTAGTATGCTCTCCAAGGATCCAACCAACAATAATATCCGCACACTGGAATGCAGATACGAAAGCAGCGGTTCATTGTCAGAACGGATGAAATACCAGCTAATGCGACAAGTTCTATATCCAGATTCACCACCATTCAGTTGCGACCAGGCCTTGTGGATAGCCTCTAGTGGCCGACCATCGATTGGTAGATGGGTGAGAATCTCTCTCCAGTTGGCTTGGCAGCGTCAACAATCTTTCGCATCTCCTTAAGCTCCTCCTCCTCCAGTTCGATGTCACGGGATTCCCAGTTCTCTGCCAGACGTGAGGCCCTGGTCGTTCCTGGTATAGTAATCAAACCTTGAGCAGCAACCCAGGCCAGGGCGATTTGCGCAACTGAGCAGCCCTTTTTAGTGGCAAGCTTCTTAATCTCATCAACGATCGCCTTGTTCTTGTAGAAGTTTTCACCCTGGAACTTAGGGACTGATGTTCGAAGGGGTCAGTTTAACACGCATCTACGAATACCTCTCGCAAAGCGCGAACTGAGCAACTTACCAGTGCGTCGGAAATCAGTAGGCGCGAACTCATCAGGAGACTTGTACTGGAAGTCATCCACAAGCCAGCCGTGTCCCAGGGGGCTGAATGCCACAAAAGCCACACCCAGTTCCTTTGCCGTCTCAATCAGGCCACTGGTCTCGTGCAATGTCTCAAAGGCAGAGTACTCAGCCTGAATGGCATCAATCTTAGCAACTAGGATACATTAGCGCGCTCTCTCACGTGTATGGTTACAGACAGACGAACTAGCGTTGGCCTTGCGCAAAGTTTCAGCAGAGCATTCAGAGAGGCCAATGTACTTTGTTTTTCCACTGCGGCGGAGTTCATCCAAGGCACCAATGGACTCTTCGAGGGGGGTATCTTTAGTTGTAGAGTTAGAATACTGGTATGATGTCTTCACTTCCTGGAAGCTTTTTCTTTTCTGATACGTACTGGGATCGATTCGGTGGAGATAGTAGAGATCCGGGGTGAAACCGAGTCTGTCGATAGTTCCCTCGATATATTCTTTGATGTGAGCGGCCGAGTTGGTGACCGTCCGCTGGGGTCCAAAGACGTCGAATCCACACTTGGAGGCCACTGCGCGGCGACACCATGTGAGCCAATGACACCATATGGGGCAAGACGTTATCGTGCTCACCGAAAAGCTTATCGCGCACATTGTGCTTCTTGATGAATTCTCCCAGCAACTTCTCATTTTCCCCAGCCTTGTAGGCAACCTATGCCGCAGGGTAATTAGCATACCCTCTTAGTACGTTGAAGAGTTGGCTTACGGCAGTGTCCCAGAATGTGCAGCCGAGCTCGATGGCTTTCAGAAGAACAGGCTCGGACTGTACGAGATCGAGATCTGTCCCCATAGCTGAATTAAGTCCCATAGCGCCAAAGCCGGGAACAGGGACCTGCTGGTCGCCAAATGGAAGTGTCTTAACCATTTTGGCGGATTATGAAGATCTAAACAGTGGTCAGCGTGACTATACCCTGATATCGGCCATATAGTTCAACCATATTTTGAATCGAGACGACGGGGGTCTTACAATCGAAAGTGTGATCGTTGGAAGTTGAAGTTGCCGTTGCAAAACTCTTGAGAGTGAAGGCAAGGAGCAAAAGCCAGGTCGGGTAGCAACACGAAACCTTATATATCGGCCGACCAAAGCTCACACCACGGCGATGATGTCAGGACAAGCGGAGTAGTCGAATTCTGTTAGCAATATTTCCATTATTTCCACGGTTTGAAAGAGGCCGTGAGCAGATTTATATTAACGCAGTGTTCCAATAAGAACCATTTTGTCATACACCTGCGTGAAGTCTAACTAGAAGCGGAATCGTGTCTCCGCTACTGCTCCAAGCCCAAGGGTTTAGTCCTTGGGTCCTGACCGACCGCCTTTTTAAAAAGGGCTAGACCAAGCCAGCGCGCACTCACGTGACAGATAATGCCCATCGATGTCAAGAACTTGCACTTTCTGATTACGACTGGCAATAAGACGCAGAAGCATACTGCATGTACCGGATTCCATGGAATTTGGCATACTGTACTCCCTACTCGATGCACTATTTTGTCACTAGCATCTTTATCCTCCTAGCGAATGCCACTGGTATTTGGCTTCGCTGGAATTGTGTTCTCGATCAGTGGGATTCGTATTCTAAATCTGTAAAAATGCCAACATTCCTGAAGGTCTAAGGGAACATACATCTTAGGTGTGAAAGAGGATGACGGCCGGGTTCAAAATTTAATCTACGTAAACCAAGGAATAAGGTAGGTGACACTGGACTTTCACGGAGCAGATTACACCGGACTACGATCACGTTGGATTGGCAATTTTATCTGGGTGGCATTTTAGGGCTGTGAGACGGTATTGCCGCTTGATTTCGGACAAAGTGGCTGCTGGGGAGACATCGAGGAGCGCGTAGAAATCTTCATCTGAGGCGGCTTGCGCCTTAAGGTCGTTTGAAGACGTTTTAGCGTGTTGTGTGAAGGAAGAAGGTTGAGAGGAGAGAGGAGTGAAAGAAATTAGAAGGTATGCCCCAAGATTGTAGCTTATGTGAAAGGAGGCGTGCTGATTCGTTTCGCGAGGTTGAGAGTTGAAGGGTTTATTATTATTAGGCTTGGGGAAATTCGAGCTGGAGCACCTGCGGCTCGGGCGGTGAATTGTTTAGTTGCGATTTGCCGATCTATAGCTTCATGGCTGCTCATTTGATTTTACATCTAGTCGAGCTTCTCTACTGTTCCATATTTTAGCATAAAACTGATCATTATTTAAGGGGTTGTGGGATTAATATTGCATATGGGCAGTGACGCTAGACCGGCATGTTCTTTCCCGGAGCCTGGAGGCCTTTTGTCCGCGAAGTGTAGATCGAACATTATACTATTGTCTGTCTGCAGAGGAATGCTCTAGTCTTATTTGAAAACCAATGAGAATTATTCACGCCACAACTGGTCTGATCTACCATTTCTAGGCCGCATACGGATGAAACGGATGAGATGTCAGCAAGGGAGAGGGGTTTGTCATGACGCGGAAGCATTCCGTGCCGATGATGAAATCAATTGACGAATCACGAAGACGATGGCGGTATTTATGCTTAGTACCATTTATGACATATGCATTACCTGCCCCGGGATTATTTAAGGTCTTGAATATCCCGCAAGCTCCTCAATCCATCAGTCTAACAACAACCTCTGAATAATCAAATGGTTCTCAAGCTGCACGGATTCCCCCTCTCCACTTGCACCAATAGGGTGCGCACCGTTCTTCTGGAGAAGGGTTTGGAGGCCGAGTTCATTCCTGTTGATCTGAGCAAGGGCGAACAAAAGTCCGAGGCATACCTTAACGAGCTGCATCCATTTGGCAAGGTCCCGGTTCTCCAGGATACCGAGACTGGTGTGCAGGTTTTTGGTAAGCGCCATGCCTAGCCTTCGGATGCCTGACGCACAGTATCCACATGATCAACATGCTAATCCACACACAGAGAGCAGAGCCATTGCCCAATACATCGCTACCAAGTACCGTTCTCAGGGAACCGATCTGTACCCCGCCGAGACTGATTTGAAGGCATTCGCTCTCTTCCAGCAGGTATAAAGCCCAGTAGTGCCCGCAAACCATTGCAATGTATACTGACTGCACAACCACAACAAGGCTGTCTCCATCGAGCAAGCCTATTTCGACCCCATCGTCTCGCAGATTGCATTCGAGAAGGTTTTCAAGCCCCGAAAGGGTCTCGGCGCCACCGATGAAGCCCGAGTTCAGGCTCTCTTGGGTCAACTAAATGCTGTCTTGGAAGGTTATGAGCGCGTCCTCTCCAAGCAGCCCTACCTGGCTGGCGATAAGGTGACACTTGCAGATCTCTACCACCTGCCTTATGGGGCCTTTGTCGAGCAATTTGGTGCTGCGGAGGTCTATGCCAAGTATCCTGCTTTCAAAAAGTGGTGGGACAGCTTGAAGGCGAGGGAGTCATGGAAGAAGATCACCGCTTGAATTATCCCAGCGGAGGCGCAGTGCATTACAGCAAATGCTTCCATGACCGGTATTTTCTAGTTTTAGGCAAAAAGCCAACGATTGAGTGAAAGTTTATTTTATGAAATGCGACTGGTAGAAAAGCGCCAATCCCTCATTTTATATAGGCTTCTCGGGTGATAGCAAGGGATGAAGTTATTGTACGGCTTCATTTTAGCGGTTATTTAATAAATCCCACGTAATAATCGTTAAAGCATTGTTAAAAAGTGGTTTGACAGTCTACCTACGTAAATAAGTGGATGGCCACTATGTTACATTGAGCAGATCAGTCAACTAAAGGACGAACTTCTGAGGCGAGGAGATATCCCCATAATCACCGTATTACAGAAGTAGAATGGCCTACGCCAAGATATGTAACCTCCGCTAATCCCGTCGTCTACAACCTTTAGGTATCCATCCTTTATTGTACGTCGTGCTTTTTCAATAAATCCTATTACCTGGAAAGAGCTATCTATCTAATAATGATTCCCGTCATATAGATATAGTACGACTGCCCTTCTCTATATTGTGTTTGGTGGTAGGATGCTAGAGACTTAGCCTGGTAATGAACTTAGCCTGGTAATGACTTCTTGTAACCTGATTTCGCTTTAAGGGTGGAGTATTATTCCCGATCCTTCAGGGTGAGTACTTTTGCATGATATCTATGGCTAGATACTCTCAATTAAATCACTCTCAATTAATTACTCTTAATTAATTACTCACCAACGCCCACCATAGCTACTAGATCACTCACGTATTGGCAATCCGCCCGGTTATATTAATTGCACACGAATATTCATGAATAATAGCTTAATTTTCAAAAAGGGAAAAGGATAAATAATACATAAATAAATCTAATATTGTAATGCTACTTTAGGTTCAGACTCCGGGGTCTCAAAACTAAAATCACTATCGAGGTCGGATCAGCTAACGGGTGGAAAACGCCGCTAGATAATCCAAGTCAATTTCAAAATAACGGTCGATTTCCTTTAATTTCGCCCACACGACAGGCTTAAAAAGATATGTAAGGCCAGTATTTAGAGCATTAAGCTGCCCTTTGTGTGGAGGCTAGATATATTAACCACTTATATATGTAAAATGGCTATAGCGAATTAAACCACCCTCGGTATGCCGGTAAATCGAACAGTACAGAAAAGGTAACTAATCGTAATATTAGTGTATAATCAAGTTAATACACCGAAATTATACAAGAAAACGGATTATATAAAATAGAAAAATAATTTAGGAGAGATTAATAGAAAGTAAAAGCAAAAGCTATAGCTTGTGTAAGATAAAGGTAGTCAGAACTAGATAGGTAAACGAAGAGTGTGGCTGGAATGATTAGGCGACATTTTCGGGAACCTGGGAGTCGCCAGAATCGTCACTCCGGTAGTGCCGATAACCGCGTAGGCAGTAAGAAATGAGTTTTGAGCACTCTAGCTTACTGCTTGCTAGATTTTAGTGATATACATTTAAACTATTTTCCATTCTTAGAAATATATCGACCTGGACTGTTAAATTCGCGGACTCTTTAAAGGCTAGTTTGCCATAAGCTACGATAATCTCATAACTAGCCTTCTAACCCTGCTTATATAATCCTCGTGGCCCTAGCCATCATATCGTTTAGGGAAATACTTCGGAAATGCATAGATAAAATTAGTCTTTTTAGTGGAAAGCAGCTTAGTAAAGCCTTGTATTACAAATAACGTAGTTCCCAGCCGTTTCGGACACCTGGTCGTCTCGAACACCGCAAAACACCACACTAAATGGTGAATATAGATTTCTCTATATTTCAACCACCAGAGATTGATGCTGTCAGAATTTTAGTATGTGCATTTCTCTACGCATAGGAAGAACATATACAGTTTTGAGACCTTTAATATTATTATTTGAATGCCTTCCCATAAAATACCGCGTAGTTTTGACAATTGAGATTTAAACACGTATATCTCTGCCAACATTTCAAGCAATCTTCCTATACTGTGCTGATATATTAGAAATATGTCAACATATAGATGTTGTAGGGTCATGTGACGGAAGACCCACTACCCCTCATTACTTCTAGATCTATTAAGATTGATCTTCAACGATCTCGCATTGAATTGCCTACCTAGGCAGGAGACTATCTAACACTCCAATACTCTATCTTTTCTCATATGATCTTTTACCATGTTTCTAAGATATAAATACTGCCATGTTTCCTAGCTAAATTGAATCAAGTTTGACATCCCTTTTGATCGTCTCTTTTGATCGGTGTTTCTCTTCCGCAATCGTGGTTCTTCTACTAGAACGCACGACCTTTAGACTCATAATCTCTTGAGTAACGCGATTGTGGTGCTTTCACTAGTATGCACCGTCAAGATCCACGACTTTATGGCCACCGCCTAAAGTCCGACACTATATTAGAATGTTGCTAAGGCTAGACATTCCGAACAGTAACAACCTAGGTCACGAAAAATAAGTTATTATATATAGAACATGTCAAAGGCGCCGTTAATTAGGAAAGGAAAGCACACCAGAAGAGCTATACGAAAAGTATACAAGTTATATAACCTATAGGTCAACATGACTCTGTCAAAGACCAGGGAACAACGTAAGCAAAATTCAGCACTATTACTCCTATACTAACATTCAAGGCGTTGAGGAAACGCTATCCTTCAACCTTATATATCTAATAGGGTTGTCCTTAACCTAGAAGCTAAGAATAATACACACGTATTAATGTAATTAACTATAACAATTTCAAAGTCTTGGGATAATCAGTAGGGCCTATCTCATAGCTAGTCTTTCGCGTCGTGCGACTTCAAACAGTCATACATTTTATCTCTCTTTTTCTACGTCTTATCATTCAACTATACCTAAGGATAACTTTCCAAGGCCTTACCGATTATTAGCCAGATAAATTACCGAAATAGCTCTAATAATGTATTTTGCTATCTCTTAAATTCATAGTTTACGCGGGGAAGGGTAACCGTCATTGCCGAATTTTATCTTTTTGGGCCAATCTCGCCGATCTCCTAGGTTCAGATTAATAACCGTCGTATGAAAATTTGCGTTTCAAACATCCCGCAGAGGGGTTAAGTAGAAGTTTTCCCTTGTAGGAACCAGCTTTTTCCGTTACTTCCTAGGTAACTAGATCATAAGCGCTAACTTAAAAACGGAAAAGAGCTTCAGAAAAGCAAAACGGGAGTGAGCAGGTAAGGTCGGGTTTGAGGGTTTGGCGCTTATCCGGCAACAAATGTCATCCAATGCATTGAAATCCATCATCCTTGGAGACTTCAAATAGTCTCCAGAGATGGCGATACGCTTTCCAGCTGTACAATATCGCGGGAAGCAAAGGTAAAAGGAAGGTCCTGAAGCTCGGTACAGAGCATATAAAAGGAGGAAAAGTTACCCAACAGAAGAGATTCTGCAGCTAGTTTCATTTCTCCCTCACTTTACAAATCTATTTGCTAGCATCTGGATTGGTTCAGAACCTGATCATGTCTTCAATGTCTATACCGCCGAATATGCTAGTGTGCCAAATCATGAAGCCATTTATATCGAAACCAACCCCACCGCCCAGAGAAGCTCGGGCGAAGGGCGTCTCTATCATGTGACTGGAAATCTACTTCAAGGCATGAAATACGATCCCAGAGGCTCAATGGACCCAGAATTCTCCGCTTCGCATGTGCCAGGAACCAAAAGAAAAATTGAGACCATCGCAAATGAAGACTTGGCCAGATTCTAAACAGAGTGCTGTCAAGCAACTCCTGCGCCGCGCGCTCAATTGACTCTAGGTGGCAAGCAATTGTATCTGGGCACGCAGCTCTATCGCTGGGGAGACTGGCTCCGCGATGTCCAAAACCTAGCATTCGAAAAGTGTATTTCCAAACGCTGATTAGGTTAAGCCCAGTGCAAGGAATATTTACCGATTGAATTACCTAGTCATCCAATTAGGCCTACAGCTAGGGCTCCGCCTAGGCGTAGTGGATGCAGGGAGATTAGCCACAGGATTAATGTATGTAAAAATCGCTATATCTAGTTGAATTAATAGGTGTTGGTTGAGATAATCGATTTTGAAGTATTCTCATGGGGGTAGGTGACCCGGTCGGCCGTGAATTACGTTAACTCACATGTTATGTACCGTCACGTGATTACACGTGATGCCAACGGGAACCGACTAATCAGATAGAACCAAGCCTCAAGTTTGACAATGTATTACTGTACTCCGCTTCGCTCCATAACGTAATTCCTGGTTGATCTGCGCACCCCAAAATACATAGTAAATGCGATAAATTTATAAATTCATATCTTAACAACAATATTTTATGTTTACTTAAATATTAGGATGTATGATTTTCTTAGCCTGTAAAATAACATATTTTGGTTCTAAGCAATTGAAATGATTATTTCGATGGCGCCATAAAATACGGCGTAATTTTGACATACGGGATATAAATATATGTATCTCAATCAATACTTTAACCAATTTCCCTGTACTTCTCTACTAGGTTAGAAATACTATCTAGATTATATCCTTTTAATATCTTATAATCAATAGATACGGTTGTTGAGATATATAGTGGTAATTTATCGCATTTACTATGTGTTTTGGGGTGCGTAGGTCAACCGGGTGCGCAGGTTAACCGGGAATTGCGTTAGTTACTAAGTTAGTAAACTGGTTAAGGTCGGGGATAGGGAATTGTTACAGACACCACACGTTTTACTAGCCGCACCACAAATTATGTAATACTCCTATCACATAATCAATTTTGCCAAGGATCGTTACCATACATTACCACAGCAACTGCATTACTTACTACTCCAGTAACTACATTCTATCAACTATTACTATAAGAGCTTCTCTTTCTTCTTGTTATCTAGTTCTTCATCTGATTCTTCATGTGATTCATTTCATGTTATTTATATAGCCTATTATAACCTGTAGGAACGGATTGTATGGCCAATTTCTCCATAATTTGAACACTTCGACGGCGCTT